ATCTTTATTTCCCACTAATTTGCCACTGTATTCAAGGGAATAGGTAGGCAGGAATCCAGTCTTTAAAAAATAACTGTTCTTTCTTGGACTAAGTTAACTAAATATACCTTTAATAATGACTTATGTTCATACTTTCTTGAATTGGGACAGGATAATAAAAAATTAAATCTAGACTCTCAGGATATTTTGTATTATGATACCCACTCTAGATAAGGAACCATGGTTACCAAGTTCTTGGTTTGTTCCACTGTATAATAAGACTAGGAATCAAGCATCCCTTCTAATTCTGAAATTCAGGGAAATCCTGTCTGTGTGTAACATCCCGTCTTTTCAATAAAGATGGTAATATGTTGGTATCACAGGCATATAACATTTTCATGTTCTCTAAAGAAACTCATTTTAAAGCAGGAAATGATAGAAAGGGCCTGATGCTTCCCTGAGATACAGTGCTTGATCTGCATATTATTGGGAAGATAGAACATGGTAAAAGAAAAGTTTCAACCAAAAATAATAACTGAATCTTTGGTGATTTAAAAAAAAAAAAATCCCCTAATCCCAGTTGTCACACCTTTTTCCCCCCACTTTTCTTTAGGCCATCCAGTGAAGAGAGAGAGACTGAAATATCTCTGAAGGATTCTGCGCTAGATAACTAGGTTGACATACCTGGAATATAAAGAACATTTGAGAAGTTTGTAATGGTTTTCATTAGAAATATTTAGACTGCTGAAAGTTTTAAATTTTTATAAACATAGGTTTTGATGTTTAAAACTTGTTTTAGGGAGGAAATGCCTTTATCTTTGTTTAAAAGTAATTAAACATTGCTTAATTGTACTTGTGCAGTATTAACAGCTCCATTATACAGTAAATGTGAGGGAAAAGTCATTTAGGAAATGTTGAGCTGCTTTTCAGGACATTGGTTGTAGCATATTTTTAATTAGTGTATGTATGTTAATGTGTAATTGATAGTAGAAAAAAGTTACATTTTTAAAACTGCTACTTGTATAAAATTTCCTCTTTTCCCAATACTGTGGGTTTTGTGCATAGTTTTTACAAACTTGGATTTACCAGACTGTCTTTTCACTGTTTGTGGTTTTTGTAGGTTACACATTTTTATGGTAGATAAAATATTAGTTCTATATAATTACTCCCTGCTATCTAAAATTAATCTCAAGTCTACATTGTGTGATATTATCTGCTGCTTTGTAACAATGTGTGGTCTGTATGCCTTTTTGTATGACAACTAGATATCCAACTGACATTGAACTAACAGTTCCACAAGGTACAAAACTCAATGTTAACTTTAGAAGCTAATTTAATTTTGTGGCTGGGAATTTAGCAGTCACATGACTTTCCTGCAGAGAGCAGAATGGCTGTATACAGGAATGAATCTGGCTCTAGGGTTCAGCCATCTAATAAGATCCTTTACATGTACTGTATAGCTGAAATTGAAAACTAAATAAGTTTATTTTTGAGACATTTCTGAATTTTTTTAAAAAGCCACCCATTAAAGTCACTGAGGAGTATTTTTTTAATTGGAAAACAACCCATGATGCTTATACAGTAACTAATATATAAGGAAACTAACCTATTTGAAAATGGCCATATCAAAAGGAATTTTGTTTATTTCCAGATCATACATGTGACAGGACTGCAAAAATGGAAATATTCGCTGCTTTGAGGCAGTAAACAAAGGAGTGGCGTTTGGCTTTTTTTATACTCTGAACATTCACTTATATGGAATAAATCAGGGTGAACCAAGTAACCCAAAAGACTTAAGGCTAACTTTTAACAGATAGTATTTCTAAGATTATTTGATGAGGTCAGTTGGTTTTTAGTAGCTAAAATATACTTCTGTTTTGAAACGATGAATATGGAGAAAAGGCTTTTAATGCTTAAGTGTTTGCATGTGGCATACATTGTATGTTTTGACTGCTCAGATAATTTTGTTTTCATCGATTGATGAAGAGTTAAATTATTTCAGTAGTTGGAATTTTAATTTTGAGAGGTCTTAAAATGGAAGCTAGGACTCAGTATGTTTTGAGGGAACTTTTGCTATTATATTTGTTTGATCCTTAGCACAATTAAAATTTGGACAGATTATTCTAGTAAAGCCATAAGTGTCAACATGTAAACTTCTTTTGATTAAAGAATTTTTTTATTAAACTGTACTAGTAAATTACTTCTTTGCTATGTACAAAAATGTGTTGGAATTCTGGATTTGCTTCCAAGGGAGTAATTTCTTAGTTAACGTCGTCATAGATATCGTGTTGTTTGGAGAAACAGGGAAACTAACAAGCTCAAAATGTCAAAAATAAAGGTAATGTTATTTTTGTTCACCCTCCCTTTTTTTTTCTGTGAGCCAGTAGGACTTAATAGCTTAACAAGAGTATGTTCAACTTACCACGCTCTAACCAGTTAGGATTTATGTGGTGTTAAAACACAGTTGCTTTCTCTATCTTAATCCTCATTTCAAGAAATTTTGTCAACGAGTCACGAAATCTCAGAACTCTTAAGAAAAAGTCATACAATTAATTATCAAGAACAGAGTAAATTAGGCATGACTCAGCAGAATCAATTGTTGGTTTTCTCACATGCTTTGGAAAACTTTCAGAAGTACCATCTGAATCAGAGAACCTGAATCAGACTTTATCTGTGTAAACAGCTTGACTGGAATACCTTCAGCCTTATAACTGTATTATGTCATGTGGTTTCAAGTAGTAGGGTAATAAAATAGACTCACACACTTACCTGGTTGAAGACGCCAGGTCAAGATGAGATGGCCTGTACAAGAGCAAAAGCTTCTACAGGGCTCTGAAGGCTTCAGTAACAACTTTTGTCCCACTGGACTGGCCAGAGAAAGGGTGATCTATTGGAAACAGCAAATCCATAATTACACCTTAAGAACCGACTGTATTGGCAGAAATGTGTTCAGATTTGTACTGCGTATAACCTTAGAGATGATAGACATTGTGATGTGATTGGAATAAATGTCAAATTATCCTTAAAGGGTACTGAAGCCTGAAAAAGATGTTTAAGGAAATAGGCATTGCTTTTATAGACAGTGATTTTGTACATGGCTATATCCATTATTATATCAAAATCTAATTCGTTTCTAAATAGAGGATGTTAATTCAAGTTGATTCCATTTTCACATTTGTTTTCTTCATTAGATAAAATAAGTAACTTTAGTCATGTTGTATTTAATACTGAAATTTGCAGCTATAAAATCCCTGACACAAGATATGTTTTATGCCTGTGTGAAAGCTGGGAGATCTATTTAACTGATATATAATACATTGACAAATTCTGGGAGTAACTTGGTTGGATTAGCCTTTTCTTTTACAAGAAAATGAGAGCAGATATCTAAGCCTTTGTAACATTGGTGAAAAAATTAACCTTAAGAAGCAGGATAATATTCTAAGTAAATGATAAAACAAGAATTTCAATAATAGTATTATTTTAACTAACAATCTTCTTTATCCACTAAAATAAATTGATTGGCACCAGACATGGATTAATGCTTCTGTTATGATAATTTCTGGAATTTTGGTTTTGAGAATATGAAGTGATGAAAATGAGTAAAAAAAAAAATACTAATGTAAAATCTATAAGGAACGCAGTTTAACAATAAATTCGTTTTTAACCTGTGGAACTTTGAGGAATTGGGTAAATCTGGTTTTCCAGCAGAATTTTAAATCAGTACAATTTAGCATCGTTGGAAACATGAAAGTAAAAATTGAGGCAATAGCTTATTGGGACCAACTGCTTAGTTATTTATATTATCTGGTGCACTGACTGAAATCAGTGAATACACCGCTAGACATACCAGAAACAGGTGCTGTGGTCTTGACACCAATAGACTTAATTGGGTATGTTGCATTTAAGTCCATAAAACATTTTACTGCCAACCTTTAAAACACATAGGCTTAGAGGCTTCATCAGTTTATTTCTATGGTAAATATCTGTTCTTACCCATCCAGGGAGTGCGGAATTCAGTCGAATTTATAAATATAACCTAGAAGGAAAGTGAAGTTTTAAATAACATTTTAATTTCCTACCAAAAAAAATTTTTTTAAAGGTTTCCAGAAAACATTTCAAAATAGGAGCTACAATTTCCTTGATGATCTAGACCTTGGAATTTATCATAGTTGCTGTTTGGCCCAGAATGAGAGAAGAGAATAAATAGAATTATCATAGTCAGGGAGCCAAAAGAATGAAGAGCTGAGCAGAAAAAACGCTTGTGTTTTCTTTTTATATACCGAATACTGAGTATTATTGCCCAAGAATAAGTAAACCAAAGCTAGCAATCCATAGGATCTTGATTTTCCATGTCCCGGTAGTCATAGTACATGAAATCTTTGAATCATAAAAACATTAAATCGACATACACTTTAAACTCATACCATTTGATTCACAAAGTCAAGAAATGAAGCTTTAATATAAATGGTATTTCTGTAAAGCTATGAGTATATATTCAAGATCTGAGTCTACTATTAAAGTTTTTACTGTACTGCCTGGCCAGCATGGCTCAGTGGTTGAGTGTCGACCTATGAACCAGGAAGTCATGTTTCGATTCTTGGTCAGGGTATATGCCAGGGTTGCAAAGTTGGGTGTGCAGGAGGCAGCTGATCAATGATTCTCATCACTGGTGTTTCTATCTCCCTCTCCCTCACCGAAATCAATATATTTTAAAATAAAATGTTTATTGTACATACTTTCTACCAAAACAAGAGTCCTCTGTGAGATTAAATTACACAATAGCTATTAATATTGTATTTATTAAATAATCTACTTTTATTCTTCCTAATTTTTATTAGATATTTGAAAAGTCTTTACCTTGGAAGCCTCATGATAAATGGTGTTCACATTCTTCAAATAATTTTCCAAGTACTTCCACCACTTGATGTAACATTAATTGAATTTTGCTAATGATTAGCAAAAAAGCATTGAGGATACAATGAATAGGCAAGCCACAGACTGGGAGAAAATCAGAATACATATAGATGGCAAAGGATTTGTATTCAATATATAAAGCGCTCCTTCTGTAAGATAAATACACTTAAGATGGGCAAAATGCACTGAACTGAATAAGAACTATATTGTGTGATAAATAGTAAAATATATTTTTAAGCATTTAAATACAATCAAGTTACTTTATAAGAAAATCTGTAATTTCAAATTTTGGGGGTGGAGTAGGGGTAACTAGCTGATGGTGTCAGGTTGATCATGCTCCTAGAGTGTACACTTTTTATTGGTTAATTAAAGGTTCCAGGATCAACATAAGGATAAGCGAGGAATTCCCCCAGTTTGTTGCCTTCTGAGTCATAGTGAAGCATTCGGAAGCAAGCATCACAAAAGAAACATGGATCATCTGGTGCAAAACTGTCATTGTTGGTCACCCATCTGTAGTTAAAAAAAAAAGATCATAATCAACTTTCTCTTGCTGTGAATTATGACTTGTAATATGTAAATATAACATTCCCAGTATTACCTTCTTATCCTATCTTATTCATAATGATAATCTTTTATAGGACTTTCTGTACATATATACAGACATATCACTAGCAATACTCTACAAGGCAAAAGGGCAACTAACGGAGAAACACCACATGGTTCCCTGATGACACTGAACATTGTCAACTAAACTTTTGACCTATCCCTGGACTTCTGCTATAGATGTTTTAAAATGCGGTTGTACTCTATTAAACTGTTCTGCAGCACTTCCCTACTAAATAGGAAAACCCTTTATATTACTTACACTCCAAAGTATAAGCCCTCAGTTTCAACTCAGAAAAAAACTGAAATACCAAAGTAAAAAATACTCAACTACTGAAAATACTTCTGAAAAAAAAAAAAAAAGATAACCACTTACCTGGCTGTGTACATTTTACAAACAAAACATTTTCTGGTCCATAGCCAATGCTTCTTGATAAGAAGGGGATAAAGTGTTCTATCCAAGCAGTCATCTCGATGCACAAGCCTTTTATACATGAGAAAAATAAATGAAGCTACTAAATTATACAAATTTCTGTGATTTGCAAAGAATCATACAACATAGTAGGTATATTTTTTAAATTTTTTCTCATAAAAGTTTTTAATATACATTGACTTGCACACCAAGTTTGACCAAACTGTGTTCCATGAAACACTTTCTCCAAAAGGGCATTTTGGATCAAAAAATGCTTTCTATGGAACTTCCCAAATCCCTTCATGGTAACATGCATGGTGACTGAGATGCTATATACAGCATTTCTTGAATATATTCCATCACAGAATCCTTGCTTTACTTAGTACCTTTTTTAGAACAATAGAGGCCTGGTGCACGAAATTTATACACGGGTAGGGTCCCTAGGCCTAGCCGGCGATCAGGGCTGATCTGTGGGGCAACCAGCGGGGTGATTGGGGGACCCCCACTGGCACCGCCTTGGCCAGTCTAGCACCACCCACTCGCCAGCCATCACCTCCAGTCGCCTCCCTCTGGGGAAGCTCCTGTGTTGAGCGTCTGTCCCCTGGTGGTCAGTGCACATCATAGTGACTGGTTCTTCCTCCGTTTGGTTGATTTGCACATTAGGCTTTTATTATATAGGATACTTTGAGCAACTAATTGATCTTATTTGAGTATTTTATCTAGCTATTTACCTAGATTAACTAGTTATGTGTCACAACAGAGCTCTTGATTACTAGACCCTCTATTACAGGGGTGGGCAACCCTTGGCACACGTGCCAAACATGGCACGCCAGTAACTTTCGCTGGCACTCGAAGCCCTCTCTTATAATCTTCCATTTACAATTTTTTTCTTAATATCGACTTTTTTATTTTTCAGATAAATTCAGTGTAGGTGCATCTTAAATAATTTTACATAACATGTATACATTCAAAAATAAATGTATTTTTCATCATCATATACTGTGTTTTTGTCGCTCGAATGAATTTTATTATTTCTTCAAGTTTCCTCACATACGAACACCTTAAGAGATATCAAGAAGGCGTAACATGTTCTCAAAAAATTAGGGTTGGCACGCAGAAGAATTTTGAGTCAGAGATTTTGCTGGTTTTGGCACACATTCACAAAAAGGTTGCCCACCCCTGCTCTATTAAAATCTAAATCTGATTCCTGGTATAATATGAACTGGTAGGACTCTAGTTTAAGATATTGTGAGTGAAAATTAATCTCCTCTATGCTACTAATCAGCTGAGTGGGTTTGGGTAAATCCCTTAACCATGCTGGACCTCAGATTCTTCATCTGAAAAATGAAGGGGCTGCTCAAGAAGTATTCTAATGGTTCCTGGTCTCTGACATTATAAAATTTTATTATTATTCTTTTTTAAGTAAGAAAGAGTAGCAATATATCAACTTTACCATCAGAAATTGACGAATAAACTTTTTTGAAACAGTTTACTAATTAATAAACTATGGAATGGCATGGTATGATTAAATCTATCTGCAAGATGAAAATGACAGTCTAAATCACACTCCAAATTGCCCTCAATTTAAGGAATAACACTGTGTGCAGCAATATGCCTACACTATAAGAAATGTAAGGAAAGTAAGAGAAACCAAGAACAAAATTTGAAGAACACATTATTCAAGAAATAAATGTATATAATTTTAAGATTCATACAAATCTATGAGGTTTATGCGCTCTCCTGGCTCTTACTTCAAAAATTCTACCCAAGGGACAATTGTTTTTAATTTAGCTCAATATGTCTGTACAGAACTACTCTAATTTGGGTTAAATATATGCTTAATGTTTAAATTATGATGCAGCATTACTACCATCTAAGCTACATAACAGACTATATATTCCTTTTACTGTGTAACACTTTGTTTTCTAGGTACTAATTCTCTCATGTTTCCATGTGCTGAGCTTTCACTGTTCTGTCACTAATCCAGTTCCCTACTTTCTGACAGAGCAGTAAACATATTCTCCATACGGTATACACCAACAGGAGGTCGAGCAGCTCTGGACACACTTCCCAAGCCATCCATCCTGCTCCAGTCTCTGAAGCAGCGGTTCTCAACCTGTGGGTCCCGAACAATGAAAATACATCCTGCATATCAGATATTTACATTACGATTCATAACAGTAGCAAAATTACAGTTACGAAGTAACAACGAAAATAATTTTATGGCCGAAACCGGTTTGGCTCAGTGGATAGAGCGTCGGCCTGCGGACTGAAGGGTCCCAGGTTGGATAGAGCGTCGGCCTGCGGACTGAAGGGTCCCAGGTTCGGTTCCGGTCGGGGGCATGTACCTGGGTTGCGGGCACATCTCATCGATGTTTCTAACTCTCTATCTCTCTCCCTTCCTCTCTGTAAAAAATCAATAAAATATATTTAAAAAAAAATAATTTTATGGTTGGGGGTCGCGGCATTAGGAAGGTTGAGAACCACCGCAAAGGGAACTGTTCTCCTGCTCTGCCAGCCGGCCATCATTCCGGGGTTCCCTTTCCCATCATACTGAGAGTTCATTTTATGTCTTATCTATTCTGTTTTGCATTCCATGCTTTTCTTTTCCAAGTCTGAAGTCTTTGTGTGAAGAACTTACTCAGGTAGCTTCCTGAGAATCAGTGAATGAGAGGTTGAGGTTTGGAGCCTGTTAACAGAGATGCCAAAAGGAAGCTGGGAGTTTCTGATGCATCAGTTCCTATTACTGGTATAACAGATACATGGGTATATCATTGCTCCTCAAGAAAACTTCTCGCAGAGGGAATCCCACTGGGGATAGAGCAGGGCTTCTTCCTATATACAGTTCTCATAAATGGAGATGTTCTAAATAAGGAAAAGAAAAGCCACCAGCTATATAAAATTTATAACTAAGCTTAAAACCTCATTTTTAAACTATTTTAGTCCTTCCCACTTAAAATCTTTATGAAAGCATTAAGACTTTATATTGGTCAAATATCAGAATTATTCTTCCCTTTCTCTAGTTCCCCTTTAATGCCTACAAATTTTGGCAAAACGACAAGAAACCGAGGAATATGGCTGCAAATTTGCAAATGGCCTGTATGCTATACAATTTGGATGATTACTACCTGAGTAACGCTGTCTAGTATACAAATGGAGACATTTTAAAAAGTACTTACAGCCAAACCGGTTTGGCTCAGTGGATAGAGCGTCGGCCTGCGGACTGAAAGGTCCCAGGTTCGATTCCGGTCAAGGGCATGTACCTTGGTTGCGGGCACATCCCCAGTAGGAGGTGTGCAGGAGGCGGCTGGTCGATGTTTCTCTCTCATCGATGTTTCTAACTCTCTATCCCTCTCCCTTCCTCTCTGTAAAAAAAATCAATAAAAAAAAAAAAAAAAAAAAAAAAAAAAGTACTTACAGCCCTGACTGGTTTGGCTCAGTGAATAGAGCGTCAACCTGTGGACTGAAGGGTCCCAGGTTCGATTCCGGCCAAGGGCATGTACCTTGGTTGCGGGCACATCCCCAGTGGGGGGTGTGCAGGAGGCAGCTAATCGATGTCTCTCTCTCTCATTGGTGTTTCTAACTCTCCATCCCTCTCCCTTCCTCTCTGTAAAAAAATCAATAATTCAAAAAAAAAGTACTTAGAAAAATATAACCCTCTAATAATTTCTCATCCTGTCTAATAAAGAGTGAATATGCTAATTGACCCTCACACCATCATGAACATGGTGGCACCCACAGCCAATAAGGAGGGAATATGCTAATTGACTGCCCTGCCCTCAAAGATGGTGGCGCCCACAGCCAATAAGGAAGGAATATGCTAATTGACCACCACACCCTCCAAGATGGCGGTGCCTACAGCCACAAGATGGCCGGCAGGGGAGGGCAGTTGTGGGCAATCAGGCCAGCAGGAGAGGGCAGTTTGGGGGGACCAGCCTGGCAGGGGAGGGCAGTTGGGGGCGATCTGGCCAGCAGGGGAGCAGTTAGGCGTCAATCGGGCTGGCAGGGGAGTGGTTAGGAGGTGAGCAGGCTGGCAGGCAGAGTGGTTAGGGGCAATCAGGCAGGCAGGCAGGTGAGCGGTTGGGAGCCAGCAGTCCTGATTGTGAGAGGTATGTCCGACTGCCGGTTTAGGCCCGATCCCTATTGCAGCTAATCGATGTCTCTTTCTATGGGATCGGGCCTAAACCGGCAGTCGGACATCCCCCGAGGGGTCCCAGATTGGAGAGGGTACAGGCTTGGCTGAGGGACCCCCCCCCCCCCCCAGTGCACGAATTTCATGCACCAGGCCTCTACTTATATATATTTCCCCAAAAATGAACAACAGAGGATGCAAAGTTGGTCACTGAATGGAAAGCACTTATTTTTGCTGTTGCCAAACCAAGCTGCACCGATAATTACTTTTATTCCTCTTATTAAAAATACAACAACTGTGCTTTTATACTGCAAAACACAGAAAAGGAAAACAAAATGTTCTCAGTAATGCCACTTACCTTATGTCAGTAATGACAACAACATGTTCACAGTCTCCCTGGTGACAGTATAAATAGGGAAAACCCAGTTTAATATTTAAGTCATTGAAGGTGAAATCTTCCATTTTAGCAGTCTTAAATTTTCCATAGCCTCTGTCATGGGCCTCTGACCACTCAATGATAGTTCTGAGGTGGGGGGAAAAGGCAAAGATATGTATCATTGCTCCACAAAAAAACTAAAAATGGCTGACAAAGGTTTGTGACTGCAGTACTTCACAAAACCTGGCTCACCCATTAACTGGACAGTAACCATCTTGAAATGAAAATTATAATGTTGGTATATGTTGAATTAGGAATTCTGAATTTTTCTTCATCAATTAGAGTAGCAGTTCTCACAGTGTGGTTCCTGAGACCCCAGAGGGGTTCATGAGGTCAAAATTATCTTTACAATAATCCTAAAATGTTATTTGCTGCCCTTTCAACTCTTATATTCTCATAAATAACCATTTTCTGGAGGCTACATGACATGGTTTATCACTTCAGACTTAATGAAAAATGTATAACAATGTTACTCATCTATTTTATTTTGTTCTGAAAAAGTTATTTTTCACAAAAATGTTAATGTTTAAATTAGTCAATATTTAAAATATTTCTTAGTCTGAATTGCTCATACATATTGATAGCTTTAACCCACATTAATAAAAGGCTCCTGGGAGTCCTCAATTATTTACAGTATAAAGAAGTGCTGAGGCCGAGATTGAGAACTGCTACATTAGAATATAAATACAAATGGCCAAAATGAAGGAGAATTTATATAAACATTCAGAAAAATATATGTATATACTCTACTTGCCAGGACAGTGATAATAAAACTGTGGTCTGCCCAGCCAGTGTGGCTCAATGGTTGAGTGTTGACCTATGAACCAGGAGGTCACCGTTCAATTTCTGTCAGGGCACATGCCCAGATTGCAGGCTCAATTCCAGTGTGAGCCATGCAGGAGACAGCCGAGCAATGATTCTCTCTCATCATTGATGTTTCTCTCTCTCTCTCTCTCTCCCTCTCCCTTCTACTCTGAAATCAATAAAAATATTTTTTTAAAAAGTGTGATCTCACATAATTAGATGCAAATTTTTCATGTTTTGTACTTAAGTAACTATATATATCACGTAGAGCCAACAAGTGTGCACACTAAACAAGCAGAAAAATAATGACAGATTTACTGCTATCATCTAATACAAAGAACAGACATTTATAAATTGTTTAAGAGGATTTAGTTTCTTTTTTAGATGTATCTAAGGCTCAAATGAGTTAGTGTAATTTCTAAAATAGCAGATAATACATTTAAAAAACAATTCTGGAGAGCCAGCAAGATCCTGAAATGGCTGACGTGTACTTTTGGTAGGAAAATTTTCTTCTTGGAATAAAAATGTTGATAAATTAGTACCTAAACCAACCTTTTCCACATATTTTAAAAATGGAGAAGAATTTCTTACCCCAAATCTAACAAAAACTAATAAAATAATTCCCTGGCAAATATCCTTAACAGACAAGTTAAAGGATTTGTGGAGATAATGCCATTTTGAGAACTAGAAACTGGCAAGACTTTGAGAAGATTTGGGAAGTTGTACCTGCTCAGATCTCTGCATTCAGGGTATCTTCTATCGTTATAAAATGTTCCTTCAAAATAAAAGAAGGCTGATTTATATATGTCCTATAAGAAAACAGATGGTATTGAGAAAAAGGAATTATAAAATTGCTCTAAGTATTAAATAAAAATTTGTATGACATAAAATTACACTAATATATTTAACAATAACTATGCAACTTCAGAGAATAGGCTCAGCCCATTCAATAATTTGTTTAAGATTTAATGGAAACCTCCTATGTAACAAATATTATATTAGTTACCAGGCATAAACGTATAAAGTTTTATCCTATTGCTATTTTAATCTAGGTTTGATTTAAATTTGTATATTCTGAGATTCATGAAAGAAATACAAATAGAAATGAAATAAACTTCAATATTATTTTATTATATGCGTACAGCAATGACAGTTATTTTAGATACTAGAATCAAAGACTAAACAGCCATATTTTTGGTGTTTCCTGGTGATACTAACCATAGTTATGTTTATCTGTCATTTAAAAATTTTTTCAATGTGCTTTTATAAAAATTCCCCCTTTATATATTCAATAACTCTTAGGCAGGCAGAATGTGAATTTCTATTCTTACTCCAGCAATCTTGCCCAAAGTACTATCGTAGTTGCACAACTGGTCTGAACCTTTACATTTCTTTTCTTTTTTATAATTTATTTTTATTGGCTGGCTGATGCTACCAGGCTTGAGAGGTTGTTTGCACAGTGAGCTAAAGATGAATACCAGAGGACTTGAACCTCAACTAAAGGACAGTACTCTAGTTACTGAGCGATCAGCAAGTGGATCTTTTGAAAGTCATGATCTTCTTCAAAAAGGTTTTCCTTATGTGAAAAATGAACTTTTGCCCAGTCATCCTCTTGAATTATTAGAAAAAAATTTCCAGCTCAACCAAGATAAAATGAATTTTTCCACACTGAGAAACATTCAGGGTCTGTTTGCTCCACTAAAACTGCAAATGGAATTCAAGGCAGTGCAACAAGTTCAGTGTCTTCCATTTCTTCTAACCTTAAACCTTTCACTGGATATTTTGAGGGGTAATGATGAGACTATTGGATTTGAAGATATTCTTAATACTCCATCACAAAGTGAACTAATGGGAGAACCATACTTGATGGTGGAATATAAACTTGGTTTACTGTAATGTAGTGAGCTGACCATGGAAATGGAGGGGCTACATCTTGTTTATAGTCGTCTTTTTACTATAATTTTATGTACACATTAAAAGTACTGACACATGTAAAAAAAAAAGTTTTTATTGATTTGAGAGAGAGGGAAAGAGAGAGAAACATGGATCACCTGCCTCCTGCATGCACCCTTCTGGGGATCAAAACGGCAACCCAGGCATGTACCCTAACCTGGAACTGAACCGGCAACCTCTCGGTGCACGGACGACATTCAACCAACTGAGCCACATGACCAGGGCTGAACCCTCAGGTTTCTAACTTTCAGTCTATCAGAATTTCTGTCACAGGGGTGTCTCTCAATCCCGACTACATAACAGAATCACAAAACCATCAAAGACTAAGTCTCATCTCAGATCTATTACATGAGACGCTCTGAAGATGTGTCTCAGGCACCAGTGTTGTCCCAAGCTCCCCCAGTGATTAAATGTTCAACCTGTGCTGAGAACCACTCTGTTAGACTTGTCTTTCGCCATATACTTAGAATTAGACCCCTGTGTTCTCTTCTTTAACCTACACCTCCCTCTTGGACCTGTAAAATCAAAATAATACCTGGCATGCTATTTTACAGGACTGTGATGAGAATCAAAAGCAGTGTATGAACTACAAAAGATACATAAGCTTTAGGTATTAAAATAATTTTACCTTAAGATAACCTAATCTCTTGCTAGGACTTTAAAGTTTCTATTTTTTTTCATTGTCCCATTTACAGCTCTGGCATTGGTGTTACCTTTACAAGGTGACAACCAGACACCCTTACAAGACCGGCTTTGCTGTGTCCCCTTGACAGCTCACTAAATCTCCCTGACCCTCTTTTTCTTCGTGAAAATGAGTGAAACCATTACCTTCCTCCCAGGTGGTTGCAGAGATAACAGGATATGATATATTATAATGCCATGTCTGGCTGCTGTTAACACAAAATCTGCCACTTAATATACTTCTAGACTCTCAAAAAGGTCAGCCAGGATCCAAAATAAAGGTTCTGAAAGAATAAATACTGCCTTATTTAGGAAACAAAAAGAAAGTTTACTGTATATAAAATTTTGTTCATTACAAATGTTTCTACAGAACTTCATTTTAAGTGACTTAGGCAACTTAATTCCTTGGCATTATCTTTAACTAGAGGCTCAGTGCACGGATTCATGCAGTGGTGGGGTCACTCGGCGTAGCTTGCGGGGATCGGGCTGAAACCCGCAGTCCAATGCAGCCTGCTGCTCCTGCCTGCTGCTCCTTCCCATCCCGGCCCCACTGTGCCTGCTGCCGCCGCTCAGTAGGCTCACTGCCGCTCCACTGAGGTCTCCGGGCTGTGGCGGCCAGCTGTGAGCCCTGTGTCCAGCGCCCATCCGTCAGCTGAGCAGTGCTCCCGCTGTAGGAGTGCACTGACCACCAGGGGGCAGCTCCTGTGTTGAGCGTCTTTCCCCTGGTGGTCAGTGTGCATCACAGCAACCGGTCGACAGGTTGTTCGGTCATCTAGGCTTTTATATATATAGGTAGATTAGAAGGGAATTCTAAAAGAACAAAAAATGCTTTCCATCTAAATCCTACATCATCCACACCCTGGCCAGGCAGGTGAGTTGATCGGAGTGTCATCCCAACCCACCAGGGTTGCGGATTCAATCCCTGGTCAGGGCACATACAGTAATCAACCAGTGAATGCATAAGTAAGTGGGACAACAAATCAATGTTTCTCTGTCTTCCTCTCTTTTCAAATCAATCAATCAATAAAATAAAAAATCAAAACAAGACAAAAAATAAATTGCAAGTCATCCATTAAACATTGAGCTTGAGGTTTCTGTGGTTTATTCATTTATTCAATAACTATTTGGGCACTTCCTCTGTGCCATACACCATCAAAGGAATAAAGACATAAACATCACTAAACAAAACAAAATGTCCAGTAGGCACTAAAAATTAACGGTTTAGAAATCAGGAAAGAATGTGGCTACAGAGAGAGATTAACCAAGATTAGAGTTCACCTAAAACCATGAAAACTGGGGGAAAGGTCAGGAGAACAATTAGAATAAGAACAAGTAAGACAAAACCTAAGTTATTAACGTTTATGTGGCTGGTGGCACAGGAACAAATAAAAATGGAGATTGTGATGGCTCTTGTCCACACTCTGTCTCCATTCTAGTTGATCCAAACCTCTTTCACTCTTCTACGGGAGGGGCTGCCCCTCCTAAGCGGGCCAGTAACTCTGAGGTCCTCCGCTGGTTGTACCAGGTAAAAGAGTTAGTTCAAGCTTGCACATCATGAAATTCTGGAGGATCAAGGCCCCACTACTTTACTGGGCAAGAGATCCCTTCTGAAAAGGCCCTGGATAGCAGTCTACCAGTTCTTTGCATAATTATCTATTGAGTATGTCGGTTTCTCTGTCCTCCCGAGAGCTTCACCCAGAGAACCACCAGCAATGACAAACATCAGATGCAACGTCCCGGTTTGGTACTGGTCCTCGAACAGACAGGTCCTTCTATGGGCAATGAGATTCTCACCTAGACTCCAACCCTTTGCTGGGGCAGTGACAACAAACTCACATAGAGTTTGAAAGAGGAGAGCGTGAACAGCAAGTTCAAATGCTACAGTGAAATCAAGTTGTATCAACATGGAAGAGAGATCAACTGGTGAAACAATTAGGTGGTGGCTATGACCTTTGAAGGAAGCATGTACAAAGAATGATTGAAAAGGAATAGGACATGAGGAAATCAAAACTGATTAGCTTTGAAAAGGTCTTGATGATAAAGAGCAGAGAGGAGACAGGCTTTGAGGGAATGGATAAAAGAAGAAAGCACTGACTGGAATATTGATGATCCTGCTAGAGCCGTGGTTGGCAAACCGCGGCTCGCGAGCCACATGCGGCTCTTTGGCCCCTTGAGTGTGGGTCATCCACAAAATACCACGTGCGGGCGCGCACGTACAGTGCGACTGAAACTTCGTGGCCCATGCGCAGAAGTCGGTATTTTGTGGAAGAGCCACACTTAAGGGGCCAAAGAGCCGCGGTTTGCCAACCACTGTGCTAGAGTAACCATTACGTCCTTAGCTTAGCACTCTTATTTCCTCTTGCTTTATGGGGGTAATAAAAAAGAAAAATCACCTTACTTTGCTGATGTGCTCAGGGGCCTGGTCAGGAGTGTTGCTGAATTCCCCACCGATCTGGAGGTCACTGACACAGCAAATTGAGTCCCTTAGTTCCGTGAGCTTCTGATTGCCCAGCACCAGCATCGTCTGGTATGGTTTGTGCTCTTTGTGCTAAAAGTCAAACAGTAAATAGATAAGTGTCCTCTTAGAGATAAGCAATTTAACTACAAATCCTGTCAGGATCAGATCTGAATTACGTTACTGGTTTTCTTGATTTAAGTGACCCTCCTAACTTGGTGTTCTGGGTTTTCTTAAATTCCGTATTTGTCTATTTGGCCTTCATTAGGTACAGATCCAAACTAATGGCCAAAGCTGTTTCCATCTCCTCTGCGATACAGAGCCTATACCCTGAGCCCACCTCCTTTATCTAACTCCCACACGCCAAGCCAACTTCTCACTTATCCTAAATCGAGGTACAGACAACGAGGGACAACCCCTGTGCCCCAGAGCCCAGTAGAATTATTCAAACTAGCCAGCCCCAACTGTCTACTCTCCCGCCTCGCCTTTCTCGCAGAAACCCTAATGAAGGCTGTGGCCTCTGCCTTCCCCTCCCTCCTTTCCGTCTCCTGACTGACACGGGTGCTTCCCCTGTGGCCCTACATAGGACGGCACACCTCCTCCTCTCAGAAAGTGTAATAAACATCTTCTTTCCGTGGCATTAGCCTCTACTGTTGTCACGCAGTCACCTGCATAAATTAAAACCCTTGGGGATAACTGAGACACTTGGTGCGATGGTCTGAAAGTTTGTGTCCGCCCGAAACATTCATGTTGGAATTCTGACACCCAAAGTGACGGTGTTGGGAGGCGGGGCTTTTGGGAGGAAACTGGCTCATGAGGGTGTGCTCATGGCTGGGATGAGTGCTCTTATCCCAGGCTCCAGGAGCATGCCCACACCTCCCCCCCCCCCCCCCACGTGTTACCTCTCCTTTCTCCTAAGCTCCAAGGGCCCTTCTACTATCTCTGTAACTTTGAACTTCTCTCATTAAAAAAAAAACAAGCAAGCCCTGGCCAAGTGTGGCTTAGTTGGTTGGGCATCATCTCGTGCACCAAAAGGATGCTGATTCTATTCCCAGTCAGGGCACATGCCTGGGTTTTGGATTCAATCCCTGGGGGTGGGGTGGGGGTGTGCAGGAGGCAGGCGGCCAATGTTCTGCTCTGATGTATTGATGTTTCTTTGTGTCTTTCCCTCTCCCTTTCTCTCTAAAAGTCAATGAAATTCTTTTTTTTCTTTTTAAATATATTTTATTGATTTTTTACAGGGAGGAAGGGAGAGGGATAAAGAGTTAAAAACATCGATAAGAGAGAAACATCGATCAGCTGCCTCTTGCACACCTCCTACTGGGGATATGTCCGCAACCAAGGTACATGCCCTTGACCGGAATCGAACCTGGGACCTTTCAGTCCGCAGGCTGACACTCTATCCACTGAGCCAAACCGGTTAGGGCTCAATGAAATTCTTTTTGTTTGTTTGTTAATCCTCACCTGAGGATATTTTTCCCATTGATTTTCTAGAGAATGGAAGAGAGAGGGAGAGACAGAGAGAATCATTGATGTGAGAGAGACACATCTGGTTGTCTCCCGCATGTGCCTCTGCGCCGGGGATCGAGCCTGCAACTGAAATACCTGCCCTTGACGGTAATCAAACCTGGGACCCTTCAGTTCACAGGCTAACGCTCTAACCACTGAGCCCTGGTTAGGGTTCAATAAAATTCTTTTAATGAATAAATAAATAAAAGAGCTCCCACAGAGCTCCCTAGCCCCTTCTGCCATGTGAGAGAGAAGTCTTCAACCTGACCATGCTGGCAGCCTGACCTTGGACTTCCTGTCTTCAGAACCGTCAGAAATAAATTTCTGTTGTTTATAAGCTACCCAGTCAGTGATATTTTGTTATAGAAGCCAGAATGGACTAAGACAGTTGGTAATAGAACATTGTTTTAGTTTATGTTAAAGTTTATAATCAAGATGCTACTAAATGACATCAGCATGAAAAGCCTGTGGACTCTTAACTTCATCCAGCAACACTCTCTTTTAAAATGTCCTGGAAGTTACCACACTGAAGTCAAGTAATCTATTCACTTCTGTAATGTTATAAGCCCAGAGGTTCCATTGTATTGGTTTGGTTTTGATTGGTAATTTAAGATCTTCATCAAACAAGATAATTACTAACTACTAGTATATTCCAGATGCTTCAGAAAAGCCTTAATTATTCACAAGTGCAGTGTATGTACAGTAATTTTGCATTTAACCTTATCAAAGTGTATAACATCTATTTGAGGAATCAAGAATACATACACCCACCCGGCTGGCGTGGCTCAGTGGTTGGGTATCGACCTATGAACCAGGAGATCACAGTTCGATTCCAATCAAGGCACATGCCCGGGTTGCGGGCTCAGACCCCAGTGTGGAGCGTGCAGGAGGCAGCTGATTGGTGATTCTCTCTCATCATTGATGTTTCTATCTCTCTCTCCCTCTCCTCCCTTCTTCTCTGAAATCAATAAAAACATATTTAAAATAATAATAATACATACACCCTGGTACGGGATAGTTCTTTTTATTAGAGACGCCTAAGGAATTCCTAGATACCCTTGACCTGTTAACTTTGTGCATTTTCATCAAAGAAGAGCTGTCTTTAGTTATATAACTTCCCAAGTGTTCTAAACTGGTGAGCAAAAGTCACCCCACTCCTGGGGGGAAAAGCAACCCTCATGACAACATATAATTAGAATCATGTGGATTCCTATAAACTTGCAGTTGCTCCCAGTGCAGAAACCAGGGTATGTATCCCAACACTAAAATTGCAATCATATTGCCGAAACCGGTTTGGCTCAGTGGATAGAGCATCGGCCTGCGGACTGAAAGGTCCCGGGTTCGATTCCGGTCAAGGGCATGTACCTGGGTTGCGGACACATCCCCAGTGGGAGATGGGCAGGAGGCAGCTGATCGATGTTTCTCTCTCATCGATGTTTCTAACTCTCTATCTCTCTCCCTTCCGCTCTTTAAAAAATCAATAAAATATATTTAAAAAATAAAAATAAAAATAAAATTGCAATGATATTAATCAAGAGATTATTTGCAACTTGATCTTATTTACAATATTTCTTACTAAAACAAAGAACCCAAGAGCATAAGCACGATGCCAGATAAAATAGTACTTGCTATTTTATCTAAGAAATATGACTCTTCAAATAATTAAACCATTTGACAAAAGTCACTCATATTATCTGTGGAATCCAAAAAGTTTTACTACTGACCTTATGAAATATAACAGGGTATAAGACATTCACAGATAGGATAAGTTCCCCTTCTTCAATCATGTCTGCTGGATTTTCAGGCTTTTTTCCTATGGCATGTGACTCCTGAAGGAGGAAAACAAATTAATAAGAGACATTAGAATCACTACGACTCAGATAAGAGGCAGTGTGAAACAATGGCTATGAGCAATAACTGAGTCAAACAGCCATGATTGTGACTCCTAATTCTACTTCAAGAAAATTAATAAAACCTCTCTAAGTTTTAGTTTCATCTCCTGTAAGACAGAGGAAGTACTTATTTTATAGACCTGTTGCTGGGAATGTGTACATAAAGCATCTCGTAAGATGTCTGGCACTAAGTGCTTACCAACTGATAATAAAACAGGAATAATAGGAATATCAATTACAGTAACGTTGGTATAACATGGGCATTTACAACTACAAATCTTTCCATTCCTCCTCTCATACTATTATGAGAGCCATCTGACAGATGAAGCCAAAGGTTCAAATTTACTTTAGGTAAACGAGCAAGATAGGATGCAAATATAGATCTGTCTGGCTTTAAAACTCTTGCTCTTTACAACATTGTCACATCTTAGACCAAACCACACTTTCTTTTATATCTGCTTACTAACTATGAAAAGGGGGCCGCCAGAGTACAAAATACATTTTAAAAGTCAGTGGGAGTGATGTCACACAAAATGGTGACGGAGGATCAGTCCCTCCACCAAAGCAACCAATAAGATGGGAAGAGAGACAGGAATGAACTATTTAGAACTGTGGAACCCGATCAGATACTCGTATCAACCAGGGGAGTGCTTAATGCAGGGACAAGCTGCTGATTTCTCATAAATGAGCAGAGGGTACAAACCAACTACCACTCACTCCCCCATTCTTCAGCCCTGCTGCAGATGTGGAAATAGCAGCCCATGGGCCTAGAAACGGTGGCTGATGCCAGGACAGGCAGTGGGGACCCTGTTCTCCAAATGTTAGTGCTTGTGTGTTTGGGTTGGTCTAGTGATGCTCTGAAGTACTGGGGCAAAAACTTGCCTTGGTTTTGGCTTCCCGCAACAGCAGTTATTGGAAACTTAAAGCAGTGGTTCTCAACCTTCCTAATGCCGCCACCCTTTAATACAGTTCCTCATGTTGTGGTGACCCCCAACCACAAAATTATTTTCGTTGCTACTTCATCACTGTAATTTTGCTACTGTTATGAATCGTAATGTAAATATCTGATATGCAGGATGTGTTTTCATTGTTACAAATTGAACATAATTAAAGCATAGTGATTAATCACAAAAACAATATGTAATTATATATGTGTTTTCCGATGGTCTTAGGCCAAAGGGGTGGCGACCCACAGGTTGAGAACCACTGACTTAAAGGGACAGGACCTGTTCTCATTTGTGGAGATAGACATTTAAGAAATGTCACTGGCTGACCACAGAGATAATGAAACAAAAACATCAGTGATAATACACAACACATAATACTAATTTGGAAAAATATTTTGGAAAAGTCCCAAATAGCTCCAGCCCTCAACAAGTAATAAACATACTCAGAATGTCCAGTTCTCATTAAAAAACTTATAAAACACACAAAGAAACAGGAAAATATGGCCCACTTACAAGAAAAAAAGAATTTGACAGAAACCACCCTTGAGGGAGCCCAGATGTTGAAATTACTAGTCAGTGATGTTAAATCAACTGCCTTAAATGTACTCAATGACCTAAAGAAAACTATATACAGAGAGCTAAAGAAAATGAGGTTCTTTAATAAGATTAACAGCCAATTTCTCACCAGAAACTATGTAGACAAGAAGGCAGTGGGACTACACATTAAAAGCAATGGGGGGTGGAGGGGGGAGAGGGGGAAGAGAAAACGCTGTCAGCCAAGAATTCTATACCTGGAAAAACTATCCTTCAAGATGAGGGAGAAATTGGGACATTTTTTCAGATAAACTACATAAGTAAATATGAAAGCCAGGTATTACTGTACTTTTGGTTTATAACTTCTTTTATTCAAACACACAAAACAATATTTATAAATTTGTTAATAGACACGTAGATAATATATGAAGATGTAATCTGTGACAATAACAATCTAAAGGGGGAGGGATGGAGATGTATAGGAGCAGTGTACTGATTCTTCTGGATATTACTAAAACAAAGTTGGTATTATCAAAACTAGGTTGTTATAATTTATTTTATTTATTTTTTTAATTATTTTTAATGCTTTTTTAATTGATTTTTTTACAGAGAGGAAGGGAGAGGGATAGAGAGTTAGAAACATTGATTAGAGAGATGCCTCCTGCACACTCCCTACTGGGGATGTACCTGCAACCAAGGTATATGCCTTTGACCGGAATCGAACCTGGGACCCTTCAGGCCGACGCTCTATCCACTGAGCCAAACCGGTTAGGGCTATAATTTAAGATGTTAACTGTAATCCTCAAGGTAACCAGTAAGAAAATAAGTAGAACATAAATAGAAGGAAAAGAAGGGAAGCAAAATGATACACCACAAAAAAGTCAACTTATCTGTAATTACTTTAAATGTAAATGGACTAAATTCTCCCATTAAAAAGGCAAAAAGACTGGCAGATTGGATAAAAAACTTTACACACACACACACACACACACACACAGTCTCTCTCTCTCTCTCTCTCTCTCTCTCGCTCTCACTCTCTGAGAGACTCTAGATATGAGGGTGAAAATAAAAGAACAGAAAATGATATTCTATGCAAACAGTAACCAAAAGAAGGCTGGAGCTGGGGTGGCTGTATTGTTATCAGACAAAATAGACTTTAAGTTAAAAGAGGTTACAAAAGACAAAGAAGGGCTTTCGTAGGGTGTTCACCAAAAAATGTATACACACTTTAACAGGTGATAGCTCATTTTTAAAAAATGCAATGTATTTTAATAAACACTGACTTTACAATTATTCAAAGTGTGTATACATTTTTGAGACACCTTGTATATCTATAAAAGGTGCAATCCAGCAAGAAGAAACAGTAAATATAAACATACATGCAGTTAAAAACAGAACCCCAAAATACATAAATCAAAAATTGACAGAACTAAAGCAAGAAATAGATGGTTTTACAATAGTTGGAAACTTCAAAACCCAAATTTCAATGAGTAGAAAACAAAACAGAAAATTAATAAGGAAATAGAAGACATGAACAACACTATAAACCAACAAGACCTAAGCGATTTACAGAACACACTATCCAACAACAGCAGAATACATAATGTTCTCAAGTGCACAGACCATTCTCGAGATAGACCACCAAGTCTTCATAAATTTAAAAAGACTAAAATCATAAAAAGTATCTTTTCTCATCACAATTGATGAAACTAGATATCAATAACAGGAAGAAAACGGAAAAATTCAGATATGTGGAAATTAAGCAACACATTCACAAATAACCAATGGGTCAAAAGGAAATCAGAAAATACCTTGAGACAAATGAAAATAAAAACACAAGATAAGAAATGTATGAAATGCAGCAAAAACAGTACAAAAAATGAAAACCTTAGAACTATAAACACCTACCTTAAAAAGAACAATCTGAAATCAGTAACTAACTGTATACAATTAGGAACCAGAAAAGAGCAAGCTAAACCTGAAGCTAGCAGAAGGAAGAAAACTGACTCAAGAAGAAAATAGAAAATCAAAGTAAATCTATATGCAGAGACTGACTTAGCAATTAAAATTCTAACAAAGAAAAGCCGAGGAGATTACTTCACTGGTGAATTCTCCCAAATAGCAAAGGAAGTTAATAACACTAACCCTTCTCCAAGTCTTCAAAAAAATCTGAAGAGTTGAGAGAATACTTCCTAACTCATTCTGAGATCAGTAGACTCTGAAACCAAGTCAAACAAAAACACTACAAGAAAACTCAAAGCCAATATCCTTTATGAATATAAATGCCAAACTCCTCAATGAAATATTAGCAACCTGAATTCAACTGCGTATTAAAAAGATTATATGCCACAAGCAAGTGGGACTTATACTCAGGATACAAGGATAAGTTCAACACATACAAATCAATCAATGTAATATACCATACTAATAGAATGATGGCAGGAAAACCTACATCATCATCTCAACTGATGAAGAAAATGCATTTGTCAAATCCAATTCTTTTTCATGATAAAACACTAAACAAACTAGGAATAGAAGGGAATTTACTCAACCTGATAAAGGCTATATGTGAAAAATTCACAGCGAAGATCACACTCAACAGTGACGACTGATAAGGATGTGCACTTTTGTCACTTCTTTCAACACAGTTACTAGAAATTCTAGCCAGAGCAATTAGGCAAGGGGGTAAAAGGGAAGAAGGAAGAGTGAGTGAGTGAACCAAACTGGAAAGAGATAAAGTTATCTGTTTACAGAGAAATACATGCATGATCTTTTTTTTTTTATTATTTAAAAACATTTTTATTGATTTAGAGTGAGTTCTTAGTTTAAGAACTCGTGGAATATCTGCACAATCACCACATAAAGTTTCTGACACAAAGACATTGATTTGTTGTCCCACTAATCTACACATTCATTGGTTGCTTCGTGTATGTACCCTGACCAGAGATCGATCCTACAACCTTGGCACATGGGGAGGACACTCTAGCAAACTGAACTACCCAGCCAGGGCCCACGCATGATCTTCAGTGTACAAAAGTGTAAAGGATTCACACACAAAAACCCTGTTACAGCTAATAAAAAAAATTAAGCAAAATTGCAGGATATAAAACCTATTTAAAAAACAATTTTATTTAAAATAGCATCAAAAAGAATAAAATATGTAGTAATAGATTTAACAAAGGAGATGAAAGATGACTTCCCAGTCCCAATAAAGTTTCTCTAGTTTGCTTTCAACTAAGCATACCCAATATAAAGCCACCCACACAGACATCATTAGCCCTCACCCAATGACGAAGTTCATGGTTTCATGGGAAAAGGTGAACAAGATGAGACTCTTACCATCTCATAAGCAAGTATTTCTTGTCTGCAGGCCCGATCTATCGTTAATGTTTCTTCCCGATGTTCCAAAAGCTTCTTTCTAACCCTGTTACAGATACAAGAACAATTAAATGTCAACATTCTCTACTGGGCTTCAAACACATCCTCAATATTCATTTATTTTGAACTAATTTTAGACCAAAGGAAAGCTGTAAAAATAGTACAAAGAGTTCCCTTATATCTCTCACCTGGCTTCCTCTACGTTAACATCTTACATGATCATAGTATAATGATTAAGACTAGGAAATTAACCTTAATACAGTATTATTAACTACTGACCTTTTTTGAAGTTCACAAATATTTAAATGTAATGCTTAAAAATAATTTTAATGCCTCTTTTCTGTCCTGGCATTCTGAGCAGGACACTACATTGCATTTCTTCTCCTTTTTCCTCCAGTCTTTCACAGTTCTGCAGTCTCTCCTTGTCTTCATGATCCTGACACTTCTGAGGAGCTCTAATCAGTTATTTTGTAGTGTTCTCCAATTTGGGTTTGAGTGCTGCTCCCTCATGATTGGAGTAAGCCTATACATTTTTGGCAAGAATACCACAAGAATGATGATGTCCTTCACTGTATCATCAAGAGGTTAATGATGTTAATACAGGATGGGCAAAAGTTGGCTTACAGCTCTTCATATGGAAATACAATACATAATAATACAAGAATATACTACTCTGTTTTACATACTCACAACTGTAAACCTACTTTTGCCCACCCTGTATGTCTTATCACTGGTGATGCTTATCTTGTCTCCCAAGTTCCTACACTTGAGATACTTTAAAACTATGCATCTCGTTTCTCCTTAAACTTTCACCCAGAAATTTTAGCATTCATAGATTTTGACTGCAACATTTATTACTGTAGTTTATGCCTAATAGTGATTCTCTATTTCCCTCATTCTACATTTATTCATTGATATTATGAGGAAGACCTGTCTCTTTCCTCCCATTTATTTATTTGGTCATTTATATTAGTATAAACCCATATTTATATATTTTACTCTATAGGTTAAAATCTAATACTACCATTATTTTGTTGCTCAAATTGTTTTAGCTTTGTCCATTAGGAGCTTCTTCAAGTTGGCTCCTGCTCTTTCAACAAGCCATCATTTTTTTTTTCCTTTTTTTAGCATGTCTTTACTTCCTGGTACCATAAGAGGCTCAAGGTTCATCCTCTATTATTTCCATGTCTCAGTGTGGGGAGCTGATATAGGGTTAAGCCTCGGACTGACCTGTTGGCAAAGTCACAAACAAGTCTTCTTCCGAGTCTTAAACAACCCAATCTGAGAGGTGGCCGCTGATTTACACGCACTGTCATTTAAAAAATAAAAATGGGGGAATTTGCCGGAAGCCGGTCCATCCTTGCTGCTTGACACAGTCGCTGCAGGGAAGAAACATCTGCACAGCATATGTTTCAAGGGACCTGGCGTATATGGCATACTGTTTGCTCCCCTTTCTTAGCACTATGTGTTTTAACCAAGGTCACCTCTCTGAGAAAGGTTGTTTCCCTAGGTGGGGATTTTTTCCCTGGAGTTAGGGATTAACAGGACTAAGGAAGGGAATAAATCCGTAAAACCCCTTAACTAAGTGCCAGGCGGGTAGTTACTCACTTTAACTACGAACAATCACACTTAAGCTACATAATCTTTACTTAGGATAATCTTCAGTTACTTCCTTGTAGCTTAATAGAACAATAGAGTAACCTTGGAATGGAGATAAGAAATGCCCTAACCTTTGGAATAGAATAGATAGAATTAAAATCAACTGGTATAAATACAGATGTAACAGGAGAAATAAAGACAGAACCTGGCTGGAGAACCTGGCTCTGCTGATCAATTGAACGCTGTCTCCATGTCCTTCATTCTTCACCGACTCTGTCCACACCTTTGAGAACCCCTGGAACCCCAGATGTTGGCAGGACCCCAACATCTCAGCCGTGAAATCAACCACTTCTCCTACGAGTCCTAATACCTTTCTTGGAGAGAGGCATTTAGAAACCAGTATCTGGGTGCCAGGCATCCTCACTGTTACTGGAGTCACTGCTTCTGGGCTTGGCAGCAGAGAAAAGTGGGAAACACATATGTATACTAACCCACACATGTACAGATATCTGTATTTTTCTGTTACATGTTTAAAACCATGAGTTAATAATGATACCTTTGATCCCAAACAAAAATCACAGGATTCATTTTAGCCTTCAACCTTCCCTTGTTTATAACTTCTTTCTCCACAAGTAAGAAACCCAACTCCTATCATTTATAATCCAGTAACTTAATTCTAGAAAATATACACTCTCTACATTCGATACCTAGTCCCTTTGGAATTTATTCTTATGTACTGTCATACTAAATTTCCATACCTATTTAAATATAACTGAACTTTCCCTTCTCTTCCACTGGTCTTTTTGGCAATTCCTGAGCTGGTACCCACTGTTTTAATTATGAGGACTTTGTAGTATATTTTAATATCTGGTAAAATTACTATGCCCTCACAATTTTCCCCCCAGAATTTTCCCTACTTATTATTGCATATATTCCAGATGAATTTTATTATCAACTTGTCTAACTCCATAAAATAATCAATACTTCTGATATTTTTATTGGGATTGCACTTCATTTATAAATGAACTTAGAAATAACTGACATCATTACAATGTTTAATATTCCTCAAGAACAAAGGATATCTTTCAACTTTTTCAAGTCTTTTTTTTTTGAGTCTTTCAGGAGTGTTTTGAAATTTTCCTTATTTGTGTTTCCTAAATTTTACACATTTCTTATTAAATTTATTCCTAAATATTTAACCTTTTTGACTACTGTAAATGGGATTTTCTCTACCATTATGTCCTCTAATTGTTGTTTGTGTACATGAAGGATATTGCTTTTCATGTATCAATTTTGTATCCTATTATAATAAATTCTTTTTTAAATTAAGTTTAAATTTTTTTATGTATTGATTTTTGGAGAGTGGGTAGAGGGGGAGAGGCGGGGGACAGAAGGAGGACAGAGGTATATATAGAGAAACAAAAACATCAATTTGTTATTTTAATTATTTATGCATTCATTGGTTGATTTATATGTGCCCTACCTGACTAAACCTGCAACCTTGGCCTATCAAAGAACAGTAAGTGTGGTAGGCAAAGGCCAGCAGTGAGAGCACATTTCAGGAACTGAAAACGAGCTGTACTGTGGCTGGAGCACTGCAGAGACAGCTGAAAAGATCAGCAAGACCCATTCTATAGAGGCCCTTGTGAGCCGCCTAAGAACCCAGGACTTCCGCCTAAGAGCCATTGAAAGATTTGCAGGGAAAGTGACACACCAGATGTGCAGTTCAGAAAAAGCTAACCAATCAATCAACAATAGTTAAAGAGCACCAATGGGAGCAAAGCAGCATAATAAGCTTAAGGGCAATACACAGACGAAAGAGCCTGGATTCCCAAATGTGTCTTCGAAGACTTTAGAAATGTTGGAAGTGTTTCTAGACATTCCAGAAGGCACAGAGATGGGTTTTAGTAATGTGGAAAGTAATCTTAGGGCCTCAAAGATGGGGTAGTTTCAGATGGGACAGGGGCCATGTGCATCCTGACATCTGAAAGAGAAAGTGATTGAAAATGAATCTAGAAGGCAAATTTGAGCTTTAGACGTGGAAGGTTTCAAAGGTCTAAGGAAAGAGTCTGAAATGTGTCCATAAAAGAGGGGAGAGCCATTGATAATTTCTTAGTAAATGAGCTTGTTCGGATGATAGCACGATGAATATATCCGACAGGAGCCTTCCATAGTGCTCCAAAGGTTGCTAAGGTAAATAAATATTAGCAGTAGGGAAGGGAAACAGATTTGTTTGTTTCAAAAAAGAAAAAGAAAAAGGCAGAGTTAAAATGCCTACCTGAACTTTTGGACTTTCATTGCAGTTATCTTTTAATACCATTTTTCTAGCAATTCATTTTTTCCTATTTTACAAAAGTATGGATGTCAAAAATTTAAAAACAAACAAAACAGGTAGTTTGAGAGGCACTACCAAAATATTTAGCTTGCATCTGATATCTAAGTAGATTGTTGTACCTTTAAAAATAAACACAAAAGTGAATATGGACTAGATAACTTATGTATTTACTGTTAATTTTCTCAGTTGCTATAATTAGGAGAATGATACTTTTCGGAGCTATAGGCTATCTGCAACTGAATGGGTTTAGCAATAGAAAAGGACACACAGTTAAGCAAATAAGACAAAATGTTAATGATGATTGAATTGAGGAGACGGGATGGGGATGACAACAATCAACCTATGAATAATGTTGAAAAACATTTAAATAAAATAGCACATAATAAAAGCAAGGTCCTCCATACCCCAAAGTCACTAGGTCAGTATCCTGTGGGATGACTTCTGGGTCCTCGTCCTCCTCAAGGCACTGCAGTTTATCGAGGCTAAAATAAACAAAAAAAAAAAAGGCAAAGCAATCATGCATCTTGTTCCTAGTGAGTCAGAGTAGTGCCCCAAATACATCGCCAGCTAATTAAGGGAGATAAAAATCCAGCGGGCGCACAGAGGAGGCCAGAATTCAAGGCACCATCGGCGCCTATAAATAAAAGCATGCATGGCCAATTAAAGGAGGCCAACACTGTTCAATGGAGGAAGAAAAATATTTTTTAAAAGTCATTTTTGTATTTTCACTCGAAACAAGGCCGCTGGGGAGGAAATTTCAGCAATAGCATACCGGGAAGGTCCCCGAAGAGACCACAGTGAATCAAGGTTTTAATACTCCTCCGGGTCCATCCTCCAGCCGTACCGTTACTAAGGTTCCTCCATGGCCAAAGCACCTGTCAATGGTAGGCGCACGTCGCTGTGACTCTAACTGCTTTTCTACATTAACAAGCACTTGAATAAAAAGCGACTAGAAAAATTAATCTTTTAGGCAGCTCTCTCGGCCCTTCCCTCCAACGCGGAGGAATTTTGCATTCGGATCACGGGCCCCCTCCCGGTGTTCCGGGAAAGCTCCCGCAGGTCGAAAGCTTTGAAAGGGTGGTCCTCCTCCGACCTCCGGAGTAAGCCTCTGGCACCCCCACCCCCAAGCAAGGGCCCCAGGGAGCGCAGGAGCCCAGCAGCACCCGGGTTGGCACCAAACAAGAGCCCCTCGGCCCCGCACTCACCCGCAAACTGCCCTCAGCTCGGTCGCTGCCTCCAGATCGCAGCCCAGATCCCGTGCCACCGCGGCATCGTCCCAGCCGGGGTCGGCGACCCCTCCTTGCCCAGGCAGCTCGGATGCCGGCGGCTCCTTCAGCGACAGATCCCCTTGCCCGCGCAGCCGGTCACGCCACAGCTCCCCGAAGGCGCCCACGTGGAAAGCGCGTGTGCTCAGCTCCGGCATCTCGTACTCTGGGAAGTTGCAGCCGCCACTGCTGGCGACCGGGTCCTGCTCGCTGCAAACCCCGCTGCTCGTTGGGACGCCCTGACTGCTTTCAGCCATGTTCTCCCCACTCCCTCGCCTGCAAAAGCCGGAGGATCAAGGTCTCGCGCAGCATGATGGGACTTGTAGTTGCACGTGGCCTGGCCGGCGGACGGCGGGACTGCGCAGGCGGAGCTTCAGACACTACATTTCCCGGCAGGCCCCGGGTCAGGGACGCCGCGAGCCTCCGTGTGTGGGGCTGAGCTCATTGTTCTCTACTGGGGCGGGGCGGGGAGCGATTGTGGCTATCTATCCCCCCCACCTCTGGTCGGCTTTGGTTCCCGGCCCCCAAAGTTATGTAGCATCCCTGTCTGCTGGCTGGGGCGGCCTCCACACGCCCATGGGCCTCCCTCTTTCCCTTTCCTCCGCCCCCGGGTGCCGGACTTGTCCTTCTCTGCAGTTGGTGGGCTGCGCTGCTGCCTCGCTGCTGCTCTGGGGCCTGAGAGACATGAGGGCCGGGGGCCCAGATCAGGTTCCTCCAGAACCACTCCTAACACCCCATGTTCGCGTATGTATATACACGTATGCAGTGTTGCACACACAAACAATAGAGTTTATTGAGCGTCTGTGTATCAGACGCTATACATCATTAATCCTAATCCTATAGAATAAAAGCCTAATAGGCTTAAGTGCCTCTCCGACCGGAGGACCCCTTGACCAGTCGCTATGACACTCACTGACCACGAGGGGGCAAACGCGCTGACCAGTAGGTTAGCTTGCTGCTGGGGTCCGGTGGATAGGGTTTGAGCGAGACTGGCCCCACACACCCTGGAGCCCTCCCACAGCGCCCTGATCATGCACTGGTGCTAGGGACCCCACCAGTGCTGGGCCTCTAGTGTATATATATATTGTTACACATTACAATGTTTCCAGGATCCCGATGTTGATGTTGCTCTTGAGGACGGAGGTAGCTGCTAGGATACAAAAGCAGGATTGGAATTTAATCTGTCTCGCAGGACACACAGAGCAAGCCCTGATTATTTATTTATTGGGGTATAATTCACATATACGTCACCCATTTGAAGTGTTCAGTCCATGGTTTTTAGTATATTTGCAGAATTGTGCAACAATCACAATTCGAGAACATGTGCACCACTCCCCCCAAAAACCCTGTTCCTTTCAGCTATCAGTTCCAATTCCTCCAGCCCTAGCCAACCACTAGTCTTTTTGTCTCTATAGATCTATGGTATTATGGGCATTCAGTATAAATGGAATCCTATTCGTGATGTTCTGTGACAAGCTTCTTTCACTTAGCATAATATTTTCAGTCTTTATCCATATTGCAGCATGTATTTGTACTTTTTTTTAATGGTCCAATAACATTGCATTATATGGATATTGTATTTTGTTTTTCCATTCATCAAGAGGTTGTTTCCAACTTTGGGCTATTATGAATGATGCTCCTACTTCTCTTGCACATATCTATATCTCTATCTGTATCTATATATCTAGGAGTGAAATTGCTGGGTCACAAGGTAACTCTATCTTAAATAATTTGAATAACTTTCTACAGTAGCTGCCTCATTTTACACTCCTACTAGCATTATATGAGGATTCTGATTTCTCCAGACCCTTGCCAACACTTTTATTATCTAACATTTTCATTATAGCCATCTTAGTGGTTGTGAAATGGTATCTTGCGGTTTTGATTTGCATTTCCATTATGATTAATGATTTGAGCATCTTTTGCTTATTGACCATTTGTATATCTTCTTTGTAGAACTGTCTATTCAAGTCCATTCCCCATTTCACAATAGGGTTGTAGGTCCTTTTATAGGAGCCCTGCTCTTTACAGATATCGGCTGTTTTTGTCTGCCTAACATTCTGATTCTTAGAACTTACCTTCTTACTTGAGTACTTTTGATCCTTTGGAGTGGCTACCAATCATACAACCCTTCCTTCTCTGGCCACAGTAATTGGCTCAAGGATGAGCAGTGACTTGACTAGAGCCAATCAGAATCCTCCTCTGGGATTTTATTTATAACTAGAAACTCTCCCTCCTTTCTGAGGATATAAGGATGCACCCTGGACACAGCCTGTGTTGACCAGTGGAAGAGTTAGAAGGAAGAAAGCCAAGAGTTTAAATAAGCAAAAGCAGAAGATGGAGAAAAAGAGAAGTTACATGACTTTGAACAATTGTGACTGATGTCATCTTCCTCCCTAGGTTTGCTAATTCCTAAGTCAATATAATCTTAAATTAGTTAGAGTTGGAATCTCAACCTAAAGACTTAGTTAGAGTTGGAAACTCAACCTAATATTCTCTTGGTGCAGCCACTGTGGAAAACAGTATGGAGTTTCCTCAAAAAACTAAAAATGAGCCGAAACCGGTTTGGCTCAATGGATAGAGTGTCGGCCTGCGGACTGGGGAGTCCTGGGTTCGATTCCGGTCAAGGGCATGTACCTGGGTTGCGGGCACATCCCCAGTGGGAGATGTGCAGGAGGCAGCTGATCGATGTTTCTCTCTCATCAATGTTTCTAACTCTCTATCTCTCTCCCTTCCTCTCTGTAAAAAATCAATAAAATATATTTAAAAAAAAAACAAACTAAAAATGGAGCTCCCATTTGACCCAGTAATCCCACTACTAGGAATATATCCCAAGAAACCAGAAACACCAATCAGAAAGGATATATGCACACCTATGTTCATAGCATCACAATTTATAATAGCTAAGATTTAGAAACAGCCTAAGTGCCCATCAGCAGATGAGTGGATTAAAAAAATTGTGGTACATCTACATAATGGAATACTACACCACTATAAAAAAGAACTTTTACCATTTGCAACAGCATGGATGGAACTGGGGAGCATTATGCTAAGCAAAATAAGCCAGTCAGACAAAGATAAATATCACATGATCTCACTCATATGTGGGATATAATGATCAACATAATTTGATGAACAAGAATCGATCCAGAGACAAACGGCAGGGGAGGGAGGGTTAGAGATCAACCAAAGGACTTGTATGCATGCGTATTAGCATGACCAATGGACACAGACACTGGGGCGGTGGGGGCTTCCCCTTGCGGGTGGGAGTGGCAGGGGGGGTCAATCGGGGGAAAAAAGGAGACAGGTAATACTTTAAACAATTAAAAAAAAAAAAAAAAGACAAATAGTCTAACCCTGGGCCTGTACGATTTAGTCCAAATCTCTCCACAGGGGGAGCTCTCACTCCAGAGAATGAAGAATGTGAGGTGTAGCAAGAGGTGGCAGTAGCTTGAGGCATTAGTAGATAGGAAGGATTTGTAGTGAGTACCAGCAGCCATCACAACACAGCCCTCCCTTAAATCTTATCATCAACAGCCAATCCTTGGAATAAGGCTGAGGGGGCCCAGAATAGCCACTGCAGCATACAAATTATTTTAAACTGAAGGCATTTGGGAATAGGCCCCCCTCCCGCCCTTAAACGTCCTTATCTACCTAAATGATGAGCCTGCCAAAAGCACTGAATTGTCATGAAGCCCTTCTCTGAAACCAGGGAACATTGACTAGAAGGGGGCACCACACCCAAAGAGATGTTGTTGCAAAACTCCCATCTATTCTCCCAAGGGCCCATTTATCTTTCCCAGAAGTAATTTGTTTTCTCTTAAGTGTCCTTTCTCCCTCCCCGACTCCCCGTCCTTCCCTCCCCCTACTAGGAAGTAATTTGTTTTCCTGTAACTGCCCTTCTCCCCTTCCCCACCTTCTATTAAGATGGTAAATAAGCTCAAAATTCTAAGGGCTTTCTGAAGTCACATTTTTCTGTGAACTCTTCTATTTGTCATACGCATATGAGTAAAAATCTGTCTTTCTTGTTGCTAAGCTAGCTTTTTTTTTAGTTTAATTTACAGGCCCCCAGTGACCATAAGAGGGTAGAGGAAAGGTTTCTTTCTCCCTGTGAAGACCATGGCAAAGGTAGCTTCTGGGCTTGTGGCAAATTCGACAGATGAGAGTAGTGCTAGACCTGGCACTAGAGCCAAACAGCAGGAAGGAGGTCAAATGATTCCAAGGTCCCAGTACAGGTATAGTCTCTCCGATTCTGGGTGAGCTTTGTACGATTCTTGAGGAAGAAAAAAACCCTAATGTTTCCCAATTGGGTGAAATGGGTTAGTAAGTCAGGACAAATGGAAAAGGGAAACTGAGACAGATGGGTACATGACCAAGCCATTAGTAGCCATCTGGTAAATTGCCAAATTCTATTTTCCCTGACCAAGGGCACTTTAGAGTAAATGGTTTTCGCTTCTTCTCCCCAACCAGAGAGTAAATAGCTTAAATCACCCTAGTCAGGGAGATAGAAAACAGAAATACAATTAGTGCCATTTGTGCCAACTACACCCAAGGACAGATGAAATCAGGGGAATAAGTGTCATTTGGGCACATCAGTATAAAGCTGACGAATAGTCTAATGAGATCTTCCCCTAAGACCTCTCATAAAATTCTGTGCCTTTAAAAGTCAGATAAGAACCCTCAAGACAAAGACCCAGTTTGGGCTCTCTCTGGAGCACGCCCATGCTTTGCTTCTGTCTCAGGGGTGCATCTTTATTTTTTTCTCCTAAACTTGCAACCAGGTGAGCATCAGGCAGTGGCAGCTCATCCTGGGCTAACCCCTTGAATCTGTCTCCGAGGCCCCTTTTCTCTGACTTCATCTAGCTAATAGCAGCCCACCTTGGCTAACTTCTTCAACTGTGACTTTTACTTCTCAGTGAGTCCACACAGACCAGTGTGGCTCACTTCTTTCCTATAGCATTTCTAGATATTATCAGAAAGGGGCCAGCCTGTTGTGTATGGGTTTTTGTCTTTGTGTGGGAGTGACTTCAGAGTATGTTTATTAGAGCTGGGGACAGTGAAACAAAGAAGGACTTAGGATAGAAGAAGCAAGCTTTAGTAATCCTACTCTCCAAATCGCCTGGACTCCCATTGTGAAATCTTTCCTGCATGAAGCCAAAACCCCACACACTGCAGGCCAACCCAAGGCAGACCCACTCCAGCCCCTTTCTGGGGACTGAGGTGGTGACATAGGTTTAAAGTAGGAATTCTGAGTAGTGACAAAAACCAAGATTATGAATTGTTATCTGGCTTTTGGTTTCCCAACCCTTCTTATGCATTGTGGGGCAGGCATTCCCACCAGGTTCAA